GTTGCATTTCTATATCTTTGTGTGCCAGGCACTCAGATATAGTAAGGTGCACATTCAGGAGCATTTCAGGTGTACATGATAAACTATATTTAGATTTTGATCCTAACCACTGAGAGGGTTTAGTTTGTTGGCTTTTTTTTTTTACCCAACAGCATTTGTGCTTTCTGAGTTAGGAATTACATCCCTAAATTGCCATRAAAGTCAATAAAAGCTGCCACTGCCTCTCAGAGAGAATAATCAAGCTGCATTCTTAGAGATATTTAACATTTAGATCCCTGAAATCAGCCCATCCTCATCATGGCCTTCAGGAGAAGGCCCCAGGTGTTATTATTAATGAAATGGTGCCTTTATCTAAATAAATGTGTTTGTTTCCTGTGACCCCTGATGGAGCAGGGTGTGTTACCCTAATGCTTTTAAACTAATCAAAATCACCTCCTCACTCCGTGCTGGTGGGCTTTGTTCAGCCAGGATTGCACTAACAATGGCAATGATTTTACAGATTTTATTCCCCTTCAGTGATTTATTTATTGCCAGTCCAGGGAGCTGTGACACGCACTGGAGTCAGTGGTTCATGGGTCAGAGCACGGGTTAGCCCAAAGTTGGGCACCCAAATGGAACTTTGCATGTGGCTGCCTTCAATCAATAAAATTGTTGCTCATATTCAGCTGATAAATACAGAAATTTTGGAAAGGGTATTTTAAATCCTGGCTGGCAGTCGTGAGATCCCTTTTGTTGTCTTAAAAATGATTCTTTATGTTAATGAATATTGCATAAACTTGTTGTATGGGGAAAATGAAAATATTTCAACCTGTAGGCAGTGGGTTAACTGGTGCTTTCCACTGATCTAAATGTACAAACTGTTGCCAGAATTAGATGGTGTTTCACTGCATGATTTTCCTTTCTCCTTGCCCAGGTCTGGCCAGTTCTATGCTCAGGGCAGGTTTAATCCCTCACTGGATTTTAAAGATGCTGAATTGAGCTCCTCAATTCAGGCTGCAGAGCTGAATTCCTGCCCCAATGGAGAGGAGATTCCTGCCCCAATGCCAATATGTATTTCTGATTTGCAGACTGTGTATTTCTGCTCTTCAGACTGATTTTTAATTTTTCTTCCTCTGTTTTCTCTGAGCGCTGGAAATAGAGCAGGTCACTGCTGTTTGATTTCAAACTGGAGTTACCACTTTGTCCAGTGTMTGCTTTTATAGAAAGCTTTAATTTATTTGTAGGAAGTCTGAAATTACCTAGATTTTAATAAAAGTTTGGTGAAGGGTTGTTTTCCTTGGAGCTGAGGATGGATGATGYTTTCAGACAGGGAGTGAGAGGCATTAAACAAGAACAGAGTGAAGGGATTGGAATGGTCCTTCTCATTTTAGCATGAAGCTCTAGGCTGGGTTAATTGGGCAAAGGTGATCTGCTTCATTAAAAAAAAAAAAAGAGCATATTCCCATACCTATAAACTATTTTATATGTTTTTTTTTGAGGAAAGATGCTTTTTACATAGTGCTGTTCTGTAATACCACGTGTGCAGGCAGTGTGAGACATGGGCTCATGTCAACAATCCATATTTTAACATATTACTGGATTTAAAATATATCATGGATTTTTTTCCTTCCCCACATGYATGCTAGACAGATCATATATAAAGTTAATATCAAGTTAATCTAGATGAAAGGTGTTTTCAATTATTTTTCCCATGGCAAGATTAAGCATCCTGTATGTCCCATGGATAATATTTTTGTGTTGCAGCATTGGCTCTATAAATAAACGTGAAACATTGCAGTAGCAAACATCACATGTTTATTTTTTCAAGTGTCTACAGCGTGTCATTACAGATGGATTGATAGGCTTGATAACACTGAACTTTTGTCAGACCCAACGTGGCAGACTTGTTACGTGTCAGAAATTTTCTGTCATTTTTCTCACTATTCAAAAAGCAAAATGTATTTGCAACCTTGAGTGACATTGAATATGGAAAGCAGACAGAAATTTATCATTTGACAGAATTGTTTTTGTTGGGTTTGTTTTAGTCTTGTTTTTTTTTCTTTTTTTTTCAGTGGCAAAGCTGTAATCAGATTTTAAAATCCTCTGTTACTCTGTTTTAGGAATATGGAACCAGCTGATTGTGGCTTGTATAAGCTCAATGACCCAGCTTTTTACAAATGTAAAACACATTCTTTATTACTTCACATGCAGATCATTTATTTTTGTGCTTCTTTGGACTGAGGCAACATCTGACCTTTATTATGGAGTTGCAGAAAATAACTTGGCAGGGTGCAGGCAGTGGAGAATGTTCGAGCAGGAGATGGGACAGCAAAGGGTGCAGATGCTTAGAGAGCAAATTTTCATTGCATTAAGGCTAAAACTGGTGAGATTTATACCTAGGCAGTGCATTCSTTCAAATATGATAGGAACAGAGCTGCATCAAAAAAGCTTTTTTTGGTGTCTTAACTCAGAAGTTAAATGATAGTTTATTTTCTGATGATTAGCTTCAAACAAGGCATTTGTTTTAAAGACACGTGGGGATGAAAAGTCAGGTTTTGTGGGTGTAACAGAAGAGATGATGGGTTCTGGTGTAAAAACAGCATAGAAATGCATGAAAACATTTCATCAAATGATGAAAGTGAGTATTAAGGCAGAGACAGGGAAATCCTGGACAGAGCAGTCAGAAGGCAGAGCTGGAACAAGAAGATGACGTTCCCAGGCATACAGCACTGGTAATTTCATAGCTGGACCATGGCATTTTATGCTGAATAAGGAAGGAAAAGATTTCTGATTGCTGACAGGAACCCTCTGCAATCAGAGGAGAAACTTCCTCTGTCAGTGTGCATTTCTGAATGGTTCATACGCTGGTGAAATCAAGAGGATAATGATGAGCTCCTCAGCTAGAAAGGATTTGTTCCAATATTTTGGTTCAAAATACAGACCCTGGTGTTAATAAATCAGTGTGTGYATCCTAGACCACCTCACCCAGTCAKTGTTTTATGCCAGGAGGTTGTGGRTGCTGAGGAGTGAAGCAGTTCTTCATTTTTTTATGAAATAAATCAAAAGAGCAGGGATATTTTATTAGTTCCTAATGCTGTTAGCATAAATARAAGTGGAGCTGGGTTGTGATGTGGCTCATTGCAGTTGATTATCATGAGGCACATCGAGATCTTTGCAATTTGGGGGTGAGTGAATCCTGGGAAGGGTCGTGCTTTGATTTTGGACACATTTTGTGCCTCCTCTCCTCTCCTCACAGCGCTGGGCAGGAGGAACGTGTCCAAAACTCATCTCCTGTCGTATGTTCTCCCCTTGCTGAGGAAAACGAGCAGACGCACGTTCTTATTTTGGTTTGTTTTTTGCATTTCTGAGAGGAGGGAGAGTGTTTTTCTCGGGAGAAGTTTGTGTTTAAATCGCGCTGCCGTGAAATCGAGAAGAGCCTCGTTGGCTTCACGCGAGTTAGGATTTGGTTTCTTGTGCAGCTCTCAAGATAACTGAATTATTTTGTCATTTTTTTTATACCCTGACTGTTTTCCAGCGTCACTGAGAACAAAGAAATTATCATTTTGTTGATGATTGCATTGGATCTAAAGCCACAGAGAAATGAGATGGTTTTAGTGGGTTTGTGCCTCTTCAGCTACACTTTAGTAAAAGTTGGTGTTTCATGATCCACTTTTCTTCCAGCTTTTTAATAGTCTGAAACCTCCTAAAAATTTTCTTTTAAGTGGTGCTTTTTAGGTAGGATTGGAAATGAGCCAGTCAAGTGATGCTCGAGCTCATCAAAGAGCCAACAAACCTCAGTAACTCTGAGTCTTTCACATCGAAAACTTGCAGTTGAAAGGCTCTCACCTCTCTCACATAAATGTGAWTTTTTTTTTCTTTTTTACATATTTTTCTTTACAAACTAATTAAATGWTTTTTTAAAAGCCTCATTTCCCCTTTGGGAAACCAGGAGTGCCTCTAACATGAAGTAACTGCCTGTGGTTTTTACAGTCACAGTGATGTTTGCTGCTGCTGCTTAGTGCTGCTCCTCATGGCTCTGCTGCTGTCTCACTGAATGCTCAGCAGAGCAGTTCTGCTGGCCTGGTGGTTTCTATAATATTTCTCTGAAATTTCCTTTATAGGGTATTTAAGTACAAATATAAGTGAATGTCTTTGCTATTGTTTTTTCTCTGCCACTGGCTATCTACTTATTTTTTTTTTTTCATTTTGTTCTTTAATATTCTTCATTTGTAATGTGTAAAATGCTATTTTACATGGAGGAAAACACCAAATTACAAGGTGAATAGGTGGGGTGTGTAGACACCAGCCCCTGACAGAAAGCAGGAGCTTTATTGATTTAAAGTCCTTCCAACTTTCAGAGGTTTTTGATCTCTGCCACTGCTGYTAGAAGCAGCCTGGCAGCCAGGTGAGGCTGCTGGAAATGGTTTTATTGAGGTTGTTGCTGATGTTGGTGMCCAGAGGTGGAAATTGGTGAGCTGGGCAGGCACAGCCAGGTGGGATCTTGTGCAGAAGGGAAGGGGGAAAATCCCACCTTTGCAACTCCAAGAATCACAGAATTGTTTTGTTTGAAAAGAGCTTTAAGGCCGTGGGGTCCAGCCATGAACACAGCCCTGCCAAGCCCCCTCTAAACCCAGGTGCCACATCCCCAGCATCCCCAAGTGTCACATCCACTGATGGTGGGGCTCGAGGCTCTTAGAGGAGTTTCCCATGAGGAAACTGTGATATCTGCCTTTTAAACCCCTCTAGGGATGGAGACTCTGGCACTTCCCTGGGCACCCTGCTCCAGTGCTGGGCAATSCTTTCAGTGAAGAAATGTTTTATGGCACCCAATCTAAACCTGCCCTGGTACAGCGTGGTTGAACGGAGGGGCTCAGCAGCATCTCTGGGAATTGCTGCTCCTGGGCTTCCTTCAGGGTCCTGAACCGTTCATCTCAGACATTTTCCTACTTTTTTTCCATCAGAATCAGACACAATTGTCCTCAAATCTTCCCTCCTGACTGCYGTGTGCTTTCTTCTGGCAGATGTCAACGAGTGTGCCACGGAGAACGGGGGCTGCCACGAGCGCTGCTGCAACACCGTGGGCAGCTTCCACTGCAAGTGTCCAGCTGGCCAGAGGCTGGGGGAGGATGGAAAATCATGTACAGGTAATGCCAGGTGCCCTGCTTTGCTGCTCTTAAGGAATTAGGAGGCTTGGGGAGGGGAAGGAAACGCTGGCTTTTATGCAGAGCCAGCTGAAGAACATGCGCGCGGAGTTGTCGGGAGTGCAGATCTTCTCATGTCTTGGATTATGAAGATGTAACTGTAAGAACACTTSAAAGGGCTGGGGTTTTGTTTTATGTCGTTGAGAAAGTGTTATCACTTAACCTGGATTGGCTGTGCCATGTTCTGATTATGGGATTTCCATCATCAATTTGAAAACTTGGAGTAAGTGTATATATGCCTGATGATATTTCGTCTGTCTCTGAAGCAGAATGGCTCTTATCAGGAAATACACATACATTTTCACATTTCAATCACAATTCCACAGCYAGAGATTAGCTGAATAAAAAGGGATTTAAAGCCACATGCTATGTAAACCCTTTGTCTTTTTCCTAAGGGAAATTTAAGTCTAGTTAGTGCATGATAGGGTAAAATTTGTTCTTATGCAAAAACTTATGTTAGAACACAGAATGAATTATGGTCGAACTCCTCAAAGGTGCAATGGTAAATAAAATTGTGAACAAGCCCAGATGATGCTGACCTGCTTCAGTACATTTTGTGCATCCTCAGGTGCTGCAGCAGGTGGAGATCAGGTGTGGGGTACCTGAGGTGTGCAGTGCCAGAGCAATTCCCCCTCCCTGAGCTCTCCTGGCACAGGGAACGGGGCTGTGCTGCCCAAGGTCTGTGTGCTCTGCTCTGCACTGCACCTCCCCTGCATTCCAGTGCTGCAGGAAATGCAGCAGTGATGGCATTTCTTTTATCTCAGGGTAGCTTTTCACAAACTCTGTTATCATCTTTTCACAAGACACCRTTCTCTGGCTTTTCCCACTGCACAGTATCTCACGAATTCCTTTCTTCCAGGATTTCATTTTGCCATTGTTCAACTCCTTTTTAAGGTTTGTACAAAGCACTGCATTTCCTGCCTGTGGTCATACGCTTTATCCTGACTTTATAATTTATCTGGCTTCACTCCTTTTTTTGCTAAAAGATGATGGAATTATTTTCTATGGCAACCTATCAGCTGAGCCCCACCTTGACAGTGTAAATAAGCTGTAGATGTTTTTTTTTTTATTTTGATTGAAGTATTTCATTATGATCCTCTGTGTTTTYATTTTGGCCTTTGGGAAGGTGAATACAGGAATATCATGGATGATTCAGGTCCCTGCTGCTTCAGATTCCAGCTTCTCTTACCTCTTTYGGGGTCTGAATGGCAAAGTGCCCACATGTCCACAGCACAGGTCTGTGTTTTKATGTCTCCTTAATGCTCTCAGTGCATAAAAGTTGTCCAGACCCCAAGGCTTTTGAAAGCAGGAGTCCTACTCATCATAATCCTTAGCTTGCAAGAGTCATTTCTCCTTTAGGATAGTTTTGTTTTAATAAATTTGTCAAATTAGTGTTCTTTCTGCACAATTACAGTGCACTTTAAATTCTATCATTTGGACAGTCTTTAAAAACTCAAAGAGAGCTTAAGGTGTTTGATTTTGGTACTGTATTTTACCTGACCAGGAATTGCAGGGGAATATATTATTAGCTCTTTTGAAGCCATTTTTAGAAATCTTCAGACTAAAATATAAAACATGCATTGAACTGGAAATGCTCAAGTCATAGAACAAAGTTGATGTCATTGTGTCACTAAATGCACCTGAACTTTTKCAGAGGTGACCATGGCAGTGAGCATTTGGCTGTGCTGACCTGCAAGGAGGATGATTTCAGGCAGCTTGAGGCCATCAGGGGTGACAAAATGGGTGACAAAATGGGAAATGGGAGCTCCCCAACAAAACTGTGCAAGGTTCTCCAGGCTGTGACTCTGAACTGGGGTTTATTGGTGCCTCTGCCTTGCTCAGAGCAGTTATTTTTGCAGATGGGAGTGAAACAGCTCCTGGTTGAGGTTAACCAGTGGTTCTGGGGGAATAAAGCTCATTGTTGTTCTGGGTTGTTGCATTCTTTCTGCCTTTATGGCATCGTTGTGCTTGATGGCAGCTCTCAGTCTAAACTCAGGTGTTAAATGGATGTGCAGTGTTGTTCTGCTCCCATTGTTTGTCTCATGGTTGGTTTTATTTCACCGGTGCCTGGGATGATCGATGGGTGTGCAGTGTTTTGTTTTTTTGGTTTTTTTTATAAGCCAGGGCACAAATAAGGTGCATTGTTAGAAAAGCAGCATGGAAGTGGCAYGGGTTTTATTCAGTGAGTTGTTATTACTGGAAAGATTGATCGTGTTTTTTCAGCAACAAAATAGAGCATCTTTCTGACAAAAGGGAAAGATGTCAGGAAATAACTGTCAGGGTTTTTTAAATTTTTTTTTTTTTACAGTCATTTGTGGCTGTTTAGTACTAAGGAAGGGAAAGTGGATAAAAATTCACAAACCTGCAATGTACTGAAGGGCACTGCTGTTTYGATCAGTCATTGGTTGGGGTTTGTGAGGAATATTTTGGAGACCCAAAGCCTTGATTTCCCAGCTTAGATGAGCTGAGGATGCTCAATCTCCAACTTCCAGGGTGTCAGAGGTGTGTGCAGGTCACAAGGCTTCACAAGGATGCACAAAGCAGCAGCATAAAATGGGTGAGATAATTTTAGAATATTTATTGCTGTCAGCTTTCACAGAATCACAGAATGAACCAGGCTGGAAGAGACCTTCCAGATCAGCAAATTTAACCTATAACCAACCCCCTCCTCATCAACTAAACCATGGCATTGAGTGCCATGTCCAGTCTGTTTTTAAACATGTCCAGAGTGATTCTGTGGCTGTTTATACCCACATGGGGCAGGGGATTGAGCAGCACAGCCTGGACACTGAGTGCTGTGGGGTCTCTGCCCATTCCTGGGGCTGTAGGGGTCTCTCCTGGCTGTTTTGGGGTTCCTATGGCAAGATTTGTCATCTCTCCTGGCTGTTTTGGGGTTCCTATGGCAGGATGTGTCATCTCTCCTGGCTGTTTTGGGGTTCCT